GATCAGACAAGCAAGCGGGGAAAAAGCCGCTGAAAGCAAAAAGGTTGTCCAAGGGTTCCGGAATTTTCAGGGACGCCTAAGAATGTTTTGTTTTTCAGAACGCACTTGACAACGAGCGCGACCCGAGACCCGAGACCCGAGACCCGAGACCCCAAAACCGAGACCCGAGATCCGAGACCCGAGACCCGAGACCCGAGATGCGAGACCCGAGACCCGAGACCCGCGACCCGAGACCCGAGACCCACCCGAAACCCCAAGACCCGAGACCCGACCCCGAGACCCGAGACCCCGAGACCCGAGACTCGAGACCCGAGACTCGAGACCCGAGACCCGAGAGCCCGAGACCCGAGAGCCCGAGACCCGAGACCCGAGACCCGAGATCCGAGATCCGAGAGCCCGAGACCCGAGAGCCCGAGACCCGAGACCCGAGACCCGAGACCCGAGACCCGAGACCCGAGACCCGAGACCCCGAGACCCGAGATCCGAGACCCGAGACCCGAGACCCGAGATCCCAGACCCGAGACCCCGAGACCCCGAGACCCGAGACCCGAGACCCGAGACCCGAGACCCCGAGACCCGAGACCCCGAGACCCGAGACCCGACACCCGAGACCCGACACCCGAGATCCAAGACCCGAGACCCGAGACAGCCCGAGACCCAAGACCCAAGACCCGAGACCCGAGAGCGTTCAACACTAACACATGTAGCATGTCCGCACCCGCTTGGCACTGTATCCATGCCAGGCACACGGTAAGAACACCCGTTCAAGTGCACCCGCTTAGCACTGTATCCATGCCAGGCACATGGTAAGAACACCCGTTCAAGCGCACCCGCTTAGCACTGTATCCATGCCAGGCACACGGTAAGAACACCCGTTCAAGTGCACCCGCTTAGGTTCAAGTGCACCCACTTAGCACTGTATCCATGCCAGGCACATGGTAAGAACACCCGTTCAAGTGCACCCGCATAGCACTGCATGCGTGCAAGGAACATGGGAAGAACACCCATTCAAGTGCACCCGCTTAGCACTGTATCCATGCCAGGCACATGGTAAGAACACCCGTTCAAGTGCACCCGCTTAGCGCTGTATCCATGCCAGGCACATGGTAAGAACACCCGCTCAAGTGCACCCGCTTAGCACTGTATCCATGCCAGGCACATGGTAACGCCCGTTCAAGTGCACCCGTTCAAGTGCACCCGCTTAGCACTGTATCCATGCCAGGCACATGGTAAGAACACCCGTTCAAGTCCACCCGCTTAGCACTGTATCCATGCCAGGCACATGGTAAGAACACCCGTTCAAGTGCACCCGCCTAGCACTGTATCCATGCCAGGCACATGGTAAGAACACCCGTTCAAGCGCACCCGCTTAGCACTGTATCGATGCCAGGCATAAGAACACCCGCTAAGTGCACCCGCTGAGCATCCATGCCAGGCACATGGTAAGAACACCCGTTCAAGTGCACCCGCTCAGCATTGTGTCCATGCCAGGCACATGGTAAGTACACCCGTTCAAGCGCGCGCTTCGCGCTGTATCCATGCCAGGCATATGGTAAGAACACCCGTTCAAGGCACGTTAAGAACACCCGCTCAAGTGCACCCGCTCAGCATTGTGTCCATGCCAGGCACATGGTAAGAACACCCGTTCAAGCGCACCCGCTTAGCACTGTATTCATGATAGGCACATGGTAAGAACACCCGTTCAAGTGCACCCGCTTAGCACTGTATCCATGCCAGGCACATGGTAAGAACACCCGTTCAAGGCACGTTAAGAACACCCGCTCAAGTGCACCCGCTCAGCATTGTGTCCATGCCAGGCACATGGTAAGAACACCCGTTCAAGCGCACCCGCTTGTATTCATGTTAGGCACATGGTAAGAACACCCGTTCAAGTGCACCCGCTTAGCACTGTATCCATGGCAGGCACATGGTAAGAACACCCGTTCAAGTGCACATGCTGAGCACTGAATCCATGCCAGGCACATGGTAAGAACTCCCGTTCAAGTGCATTTGCTTAGGTTCAAGTGCACCCGCCTAGCACTGTATCCATGCCAGGCACATGGTACGAACACCCGTTCAAGCGCACCCGCTTAGCACTGCATGCGTGCAAGGCACATGGTAAGAACACCCATTCAAGTGCACCACCTTAGCACTGTATCCATGCCAGGCACATGGTAAGAACACCTGTTCCCCGTTCAAGTGCACCCGCTGAGCATCCCTGCCAGGCACATGGTAAGAACACCCGCTCAAGTCCACCCGCTCAGCATTGTGTCCATGCCAGGCACATGGTAAGTACACCCGTTCAAGCGCGCCCGCTTAGCGCTGTATCCATGCCAGGCACATGGTAAGAACACCCGTTCAAGTGCACCCGCTTAGCACTGTATCGATGCCAGGCACCTTAAGAACACCCGCTCAAGTGCACCCGCTCAGCATTGTGTCCATGCCAGGCACATGGTAACAACACCCGCTCAAGTGCACCCGCTCAGCACTGTGTCCATGATAAGGCTCAAGTGCACCCGCTCACCACTCTATCCATGCCAGGAACGCACATTGTAAGAACACCCGCTCAAGCGCGCCCGCTCAGCACTGTATCCATGCCAGGCACATGGTCAGAACACCCGCTCAAGTGCGCCCGCTCAGCACTGTATCCATGCCAGGCACATGGAAAGAACACCCGCTCAAGCGCAGAACTGCATGCCAGGCAAATGGTAAGAATACCAGCTCAAGTGCACCAGCTCAGCACTGTGCCCATGCCAGGCACATGGTAAGACCACCCGCTCAAGCGCACCCGGGCTTTGTCGTCTGAGATGGCAAAGATTTGCTGGAAGGCCAAGTGAAGATGAAGACCAGGAAGGGAAAAAGGGCAGCATCTGCATGTGCAAGGCTTTGTTTTCTTCTGATCAACATTAAAAATCGTAAAAAAGAGCTTTTGTTTTGTGACTTTTTTGACATGAATCAATGAAAAACGCAGGTGTTGAGTTTCGGTGTTGGCCAATCGACTGGTGAAAAACACGGGGCGCGTCCACCGCGCGGCACCTTGTTGTTGGCTGGAAAGTCGAAAACTGAAACCCAAACCTAAAACTCTTAAGTATTGTGGCTGGCCGGACAACCGAAACCCAAACCCCAAGCCCTATATTGTTGTTGTTGGCTGGAAAATGGCAAACACGCCCGCTCAGCTGCAACCGCTCGCTCTGCTGCCAAATGACAAGCACGCCCGCTCACGTGCACCCGCTCAGCACTGCACACATGCTTGCCAAATGGTGAGCGCACCCGCCCACCTGCACCCGCTCAGCACTGCGCCCACGCCTGCCAAATGGTAAGCACGACCCTCACGTGCACCCGCTCAGCACTGTACACATGCCTCTCACGTGCACCCGCTCAGCACTGCGCCCGCCAAATAATAGCACGCCTGCTTCCGCGCGCCCTAGATTCGAGATTCGTGACCCGAAGCCCAAGACCCCGAGACCCGAGACCCCGAGACCCGAGATCCGAGACCCGACCGAGACCCGAGACCCGAGACCCAAGACCCGAGACCCCGAGACCCGAGATCCGAGACCCGAGACCCAAGACCCGAGACCCCGAGACCCGAGACCCGAGACCCCGAGACCCGAGACCCGAGACTCGAGACCCGAGACCCGAGACCCGAGACCCGACGCCCGAGACCCGAGACCCGAGACCCGAGACCCGAGACCCGAGAAGTGTCGGGGAGCCGCGGGCCCATTGTCAAGTTCGATCTCTTTTTTTCCCCATGGGTGTTCAAAGAGTGTTAGTCGTGTCTTCTATGACTGTCCAGTATGGGCCACTAAACCTACCCTACACAAACCCTGACGTTGGGGCGTCAAAAACAATGCTGGAGGTGTTCTAGGTTTCTAAAATTGGTGTAGCTCTTTTGGTGATAGGGAACGAAAGAACACAACCAGCTTTTGGATTTGGTCCCCCCACTGTGGACAGAGTCCCGCACCAGTTGGTAGGTATTTTGTTCCAAAATTTTCGAAATTCATTACGAGTGCAGGATTTTGTCCACTCACAAAAGGGCTTTCAAAACGCACAAGCCCATTTTGAGGCCGCGTATTCTGGGTGAACGTTGAACCTGGATTCTCTTTTGCGGGCAATACACTGCCGCTTATTTTGGTGGTATACAAGCAACCATACCTCCAAAACCCGTTTTCGGAGAATGTTCTTGATAATTGCGTATTTTTAGTCCTATAGCAGGGGTCATTCTAAGAAAAGTGGGCAGTTGTGGAAAGCCCAAACAATGTGAAAAACACAAAGGAACATGGGCCCATTCTAAAAAGCAAACAGGTGGACAACTTTGGAACCCCAAACAATGTGAATAAGGACAACAAAAGCAAACAAGCTCGCTGAGAGCACCTGGCCATGGGTCAAAATCCCGTACCCCTAGTGAACATCCCAATCCCAACTAAAATAGGTTCTAAAATGGGTTGTGCACCTACCAACCAAAATGGGATCCCAAAACGGTTTTGACAACCACAGCCACTTGACTAGATATATAACCCAAAAAACACCTTTTGGTCAAAGCTGAGGTCAAAGTGGCCGTGGAGCAGCTCGCGGACGAATCCTCGGGGCCACAGGCCATTCTCCTCAGCGGCCTCTGCGCGCCTCGGCCGTCTAGACGGCGGGGCCCTGGGTGCAACCGGCTTTGCACAGCTGATATCATGGCTAAAAGTATGTGTTTGGCTATATATTTTTCTACATGACGCATGTACATATACACATGTTGAACATGATTGTCCGACATATATAGATATATAATCTGTATATATTAGATATGTAAGCGTACACTTTTTTATGCATATGCCAGTATATCTACGTGTATTTATAGACAGACATACGGAGCTGTATGTTAGTCTGTATATGTACCAGATTTGTAGAATTTATAGGTACACAGATATGCAGCTATATACTGTGGATAAGCCCGAATATAAGTGTATAGTTGCAGAGTATTCATCGAGACCCAGGCAGCGCTACAAGGCTGCTGAGCGCACCTGGAATCGCCGGCTCCCAGGGCTGGCCTGAGGCAATTCTTGCGCGACACTGGCTGCTTTGCGCCTTAGCCGGGTGTAGACCCTTATGTGATACGATTGCTTTGTTTGGCAGCCAGTGCACGGGCGTGGACTCTTCCTTGGAGTTGCGTTTGCAGCTTCCATGGCCCAGCTCCGGTCAATGAAAGTATGTCAAACCAGCTTCGGATTCGGCCAAAAAAGTGCGAAACCTCCAGGGGGCCAATTGAGGGGACCCATCCCAACTGGTGCAGGATTTGTCATTACATGTCATTACTACGTTTTAGAGAGAAAACAGGTTTTCTTTTATCTACCTCTCACCAGTATCAAAGGCTTATCTTCGGTTTTCCATATTCTCCGCCGTTTTCGCCCTTCTTGGGGGTGTCAGCCTTTGGTCGGCGCACGCAGTGTTGCTTTGGCACTTGGGGCACGTGTATCCAGATGTTGGGTAGCTTCCAGTTGCTTAAGTTGATGTCCCGTGTTGGTTTTCAAAGGGAATCTGTGTGTTTTGCATTTGTGTTTTCAGGGTACTTGAGCAAATGGAAGGCAGGTGCAAGCAGGCCAGGCCAATTGCAGCGTGGGTAGTACAAGTATGCTTGTTACAGCATACCGCAGAAGATAGACAGACTGTATGGTTCCCGAGCTGCAGTATTGTGACCAACCGGGCTTGATATTTGGATGCACTGAGCCTCTTTTAGGGGAAGTGTTCCAAGGTTTGATGGTGTTTGGACTTTGTGCCACGCAGGAATGACTTGTTGCCTGTGCACAACCAGAGTAGATCAATGGGACAAACTCCGAGATGGTGTCTACGGCCCCCAAACGTTCATGGAATGCACATTCCACGTAGCAGCCACAATGTAAAGGGTTTTTCTAGAGTTTTTCTGGGGGTAATGGCTTTGATGGCCTCTAGGGGGGGCTGTCCCTGAAGCCAAGCATAAGCCAACTGAACGTGCTCTGATTAAGGGGTCATGGAGGGACCTCTCCCCTCTCCCGTAGCCTCCCCGCCTTAGGGTCCATGAAGCTACTTTTGCACCCGGCAGCCTTCCACGACTTCGCCGGAGCGAGGTCCGGCCCGCGGGGTGGTGCGGGCCTCGCGGCCCACGGAGCTGAGTGCGGGACTGAATGAGCAGCACTTGGACCCAAAACGAGACCCTCCCTCCAAACATGGCACCTGACAGAGAGTCCCTTGAACAAGAAGTGGATCTTTCAGGCTCCAACAATGCAGTGAAAAAGTCGGGGGAGTGGTAAATCCCCAAAAGGTTCCCTTTCTCCAACAGGGTCACTGACCGGTCAGGGAAGAGGAACGCAGCGACGTCTTCCCACGACCCAAAGGTCCCTTTATTTTCCAATGGAAAGGGGCGCTGAGTTTTGTTTTCCACCGGTTTGTCAGGGTTCCCTCTTGCCCTCTTGGTCGTTTGAAACATCACCCAAAACGGGCCACTCTAAAGTGAGCTTTTCTTTGGTGGGGTGATCTTTGAAGGGAAATTCGGGAAATATCGTCTTCCCAGATCCTGGGCCTATGGGCGAGGGGAGGGGCAGGGGTCCACAGCCTTTTTAACAGCTTAACAAGGTATGAGGGGCTTATCCAAGTTGATGCTGGGCTTGCCCTGGAGACCTATCTAGGTCCTCTTTTGGTCAGCGGGTGTCCACCAAGGCTCCACGGCTGCGAAAGATGGTATCAAAACAAGCACAGCAAGGCAACAACGAAGGGCGACTTGATCTCTGGGAGCATGTCGAAGGGAAAGCCAAGCCAGAACAAGGCAAGCTATCAGCCCAGCTCTGCACGGCCCAGGATTGGCACAGCTTTGCATCACTTTGCTTGTGCTTCACGCTCGCAGCTGGTCCCGTCTTGTTTCTTTGCCGCTAGGATTGCCGGGCGGCAACGGGATGAAGCCTCTGCAATTGTCGATGCGCTTTTCTTACACGACGAAGCACATTTTTCAAAGCCGGCCAGCACGGAATTTCGAGCTGGCCAATCAAATCCTTGCCATGGGTAACGAAAAGGTTCGCCTTTTGTAGCAGCTTTTTCCAACAGGGATCGTGGACAGAATCGGATCCAACATTCCATTTTGAACAACCCAGCCTTTATGCCAAGCTTGGACAATTGCCTACATGTGCTGAGGCATTACCCTCTGCGTGACCGGCTCGGTCATGGAAAGGCCGGGCAAGCCGCCGGTCAGGTCTGATAGAACTGGGCTGGACATGTTTGCGGGCTTCTCAAAGTTAGTTACTGGCGGATGGGGCCCCTTAGATATGTATCACCAACATTTAGAGTGGTTTTGAAAAGCAACTTTGAGGGATCCCTGAAATAACATTTCAGCCTTGAAACCCACCACTTAGCGGGTCGTTTTGAGATGTCACTTTGGACCCAGTGGAGGGCTCGCTCCTTCAAGCCGATGCATTATCCCTTGCCACTTCCAGCGGACGGCCTTGGGCCCATTTGCTTCTTTCCATTTGCTGAAATGAATATGTGTTATTTCCCGGTTGGTGTTGTTCAGGAATTCTATCACTACTCAAATATATATATATATATATAGATACACATGTATATTATATATACATATATATATATATATTTCAGGGCAGGTACTGGCAAATGGGCTCCGGGTGTCGTGTCACATGTTTTGCTTCGGAGGTGCGAACAGGAGCTCAAGGTGCTGGTCCGCGTCGGCGACGCCTGGGCCCCAGGAACCCGTCTCGCGTCTCCCATTACGCGGGTGCCCGCGGGTTTGGCTTTTCGGGTCAGGATTCCATTTTTTGACCGCCCAAAGGTAGACTTAAGCCCTGGGTTTCCTTTTTGGCGAAAGCAATCACTTCTGGGTTTAAGTCTACTTTGGGGTAGTCAAAAAATGGAACCCTGTTTCGGGTGGTGCTGTCTCAGGTCAAGTGCCTCTAACGCACTGCCGGAAGCTCTCCCAATCGACCTCCGTAAATAGATCCAAAGTCTTCCAAAGAGGTCCATTCGGGAGCTTCCACGTTAGCGTGGGGGAGGGTGCCATAAATGAAGAAGGAGAGACCAAAAACCATTAGACGTTTCACCCAAGACTGATACCTGAGCAACCTCTCGGTCGTGTTTTGCCCATTCTATCAGGGGGTGTTATTAAGGTGGTAAGGGCTAACCTCGAAATCCACATTCGTAGAACCAAAAGTTAACGGGCTTTGGGGGGATCAGGTGGTAATTATCGGGACCCTTGTGGTGGTGTGCCACTACAGGTTTAAGATCGGATTAGGCATCCCCCAGTTTGAACAACCCAGAAAGATGAGGTAATCTTTGGTCGGTGATTTGTGTTGGCGGTTTGATTTGAATCCTGTGGTTTTTGTAGAAAAGAGGCCTCAATTCTTGGGTCACCAATTGGGTCAGCATTTTTGAGCGTTTGCGTGCTTCTTGAGCCCGAGCAAGCTTTGAGGAATCTTCCCGTTTCCAAATCCCACCGTTTGTACCCTCAGTCCAGAGTGCTAATCCATTTTACTTGAACAGCCATAATTAACATCGAACCCCAACAAGTCTCAGTGTCCGTTTTCAAGTTTGAGAGAATGGGGGCTCCCTAAGTTCAGGTTCCACCCCAGAAAACCATGCGTTTTTTTTAGCGAATTGTGCTGCCCCCGGAAAGCGCGGCAAGGGAGACTGAGACAACGCATCAGCCATCCAAGCTGCATGCCACACACTCTTCAAGCCTCCCCTCGTGCAGATGAATGAACCCGTCGGCTTCTCCTCTTTGAGCTGAATGGACAACATGAGCCACGGTCAATATTTATCTACTAACATCAGCGGTAAAGGCCATGCCATGGAGCACACACCCAAGACATCACCATTAGCTCACTTCCCCAAAGCGAATCGACCTCTTGACCTTTCGGTTTTCCCTTTTTGGTCCATTTGAGTGGCCCCAAAAGGTGATCACCCTTTTCTTTCCAGGTCCGACAAGGCAAGTGAGTTAGGCAAGGGTTATTCCCAAGAATCCAAGGTCATGGCGGAATTCTTAGATGGCCTGTGAGTGCTTTGTTGCTGGCCAGAGTAAACAAGGAAGGGGCTGCGTCTATTTTAGGGGACCCCCCCCGATACTCATGGTTTTCCTTTTGGTTTCGTTTTGAAACGGCAAAAAAAGGTACCCCCTTAGAAAGACAGCCACCGGGGCAACAATTGAAGTCCGATGCTGTGCCAAAGAACACCAACTGGTTTGCGATTTCTCGACGAGAAGCGTCCTGCCACGAGATTTGGGTGTGTCCTTTTTGAGAGCCTTGGATTTCAAGGGAAACCAACAGGAAACCAAGGCCCATTTTGGTAGTTTCCCCGTTTTGAGAGCCCAGTTGGTCCCAACCTGAACCTTGCTCGGAGATATGTTATTTTGGGTACCTTCCGTAGGGCGATCTTTTACTGACCTCATTTGTCACACCCTCCTTGGAAACCCCTAAGCACAACCTTGGGAAAACAAACATAGACCAACACTGGAGGTATGTTTGGGGATGCATTTGGGGGTGCGTTTGCGGGTGGTAGGAGCAGTTCTATGAATTTGAGATGGGCCTGGATTGGTTCTACCTGACCAATTGAGCATTGTCATGCATACTGCATACTGCACCCTCGCTTCCGGGCGCTGCTCCGGTGGGCCTCTTTCGGCTTTCGGCCAGCCCAGGACCAGGACTCTTGCAAGGAGGTCCGGCTTCTTGTTCGCGTGTGGGCCTCGAGGTGTTCTTGGTGGATTTCCTTCCCAAAGAAGGAAGCCAAAAGCGATGGACGTCGTGACATGTTTTTCTATACACACCATAAGAGGGTGAGGTGAGGGTCCCCCTTGAAGGTTGTTTCCAGGGAAAGCGACCATTTTGGGGGTCTTCCTATGTTGCCAGGTGCCCATATTCAGCAGCCAGCCCACAGATTTGATTGGGGAGGTGTCTGGCTCCCGGACTCCATTGAAAAGCCTTTAGCAAAACAGTTCACAGTTTTGAGCCAAAGTGGAGGGCGATTGAACCGAGTAATTTGTATGATT